CACACTAATAAAAGAGATTAAGTAACCATCCTTAGCAAAGAATTTGAAAGAATTTTGGAGTTTTGGGGGTTACTGTATTCTAGCATATGCCAACTCACTCTGAAAGTGCTACTGGTACCTTATAACCCAGTACGTCCTGCTGCATGATCGGAGCATCGGCAACTAAACCAGTTCCCTCCATCAGCTTAGGGCTTCCTAATCAACTGCCAGGGCAGAGGATTTCCCCGATGGAATCAACGGCCGTATCTCTGTGACCATGGCGACCGTTCAAGTTGAAGGACATCGGTTGTAGTTTAACCTGAAGAGGGATGGGCTCCGCCAGGTCTTCTTGTCCAAGTAACGCTACGTAGGAATCAGTACTTTCCCAGCTTTCAACCAAGATGTGTGGTGGGAACTGGGCAGGTGATTAGCTGCACAGTGATCATAAGATCACTCTCGACCATGCTTCTTCTTCTTCTTCTTCTTATTATTATTATTATTATTATTATTATTATTATTATTATCATCATCCTTGGAGGCACGGCGGGGTATTGGTTAGCGTCTCGGACTGAAGAATCCGACGGAAACACGAATTCAAATTCCAGTCGAGTTCATGACATTCACTTACGTGCTAATAACTTTGGGAAACGTATGAATGCATTTATTTCCCCATGGGTAAATAGCAGGACAGATTGGGTCCCATAGCCTTAGTTGACAGGCAGTCTCAGAGAAGGAATACGCTGAATTCAGGCCAGCCTGGAGAGGGTTTTTTGGCTCCATCGGGCTATCTTGACCAAGCCACACCATTTCTACTACAGCTGCCGTATATGTGGTGTCCCTACGATATGCTTTTTTAAACAGTGAATGTCTTCATGCCTACTTTAATTATAGTCGTAATATGTCGGAAGGTACATTTTCTTTATTAAGACTTTCGACCTCTAGATCAGTAGACATTAGACACTAAATACAACGTTTATATTAATAATATATATATATATATATATATCACCAACACACACATACACACACACACATATATATATATATAAATTTTATAACAATAAAAATTTGTGAAAGTCACAAATGTTATGGTAACACAGTCTTCAATGTAAAATATAAAATATACAGAGTAATATACAATATATGATACTTTACTGTACCCGCGACTTGCAGTTTCATCTTCTCTCACGAATTAGGAAAATTTATTATCTTTTTTTACCGTTTGAGGATTATGCGACCACCTCAAAATTGTGTATAAAACTACAAGTCACGGGTACAGTAAAAGTTAACTAAAGTATAAAGTGTGTGCATATATATATATATATATATATATATATATATATATATATATATATATTTATATAATTATGTATTTGGGCAGCAATCCGTTTTATACAAGTCTTATTAAATACAGCCGACAAGGTACTGCGATTTTCTATTCAGTTTTTCTTGTCTTCGTGTGATTTCTTTTCTGAACAAGTGTTTCAAAATTTTATGAATGTTCTGTATGTTCTTTTTTTACTTTTTAACTGAATGTGCAGATTTTTCTATATGTATCTGCAAATTTGGGAATATTTTTTTTATTTTCCAAACACGGTCAGCATATTGTAGCCGTGTTCATAGTTGATGTTATTGAGTGTTGGCTTCTTTTAAAATTATTATTATTGCTTTCATTATTTTTAGCCTTTTTTTACATGTGGATGAGGCTATTATATTTATATTTTCTACGAGTATGTTGTGGATGGAGTTTGGTAGGTTTCCATGTGTTTTTAAATGAGTCCTAATTGAGCTATGCTCAGAGCGATATAACATGAGTATTCTTGATAGGCATGTAGGGACATTCGGATAGTTTTTACACACTTTATATCCAGAAAAAAAATTACATATACAAACAATGAAAATTGAATAAAAAGCTTAATCGCAGTATCTTATCAGTGTTTTTTAATGAAACTTGTATACACATATATATATATAAAAGTGGACATTGAAGTCAACACCCAACAGTCTGTTTCATGCTAAACGCAATCGTAAGGGCAGAGAATTCCCCCGATGGAATCAACTGCCATATCTCCGTGACCATGGCGTGCCTTTAGGTTGAAGGACATCGGCTGACCTGAAGGGTGATGGGTTCCGCCAGGTCTTCTTGCTCAAGTCAGGCCACACGGGATTTAATATTTCCCAGGATTGGCCTGGCGATTGCGTTTAGCATGAAACAGACTGTCGCCTCTGGGTGTTGACGTCAATGTCCACTTTTTTTATTTACATACACTATATCCCTGATATTGAGCAATTTTAACGTATAAATAAAGCATTTTTTAAAACTGTATTTTATCACACACACACACACACACACACACACACACACACACACATATATATATATATATATATATATATATATATATATATATATATATGAAATAAAAATATATATATATATATATGAATCTGTTGGGGATATTTTATTTTAACTGTCCCTCGCTAATTTATTTACATGATTTCCCTTCCTCGTTACAAGTATATATACTTGTTCGTTATTTTAGTGTGTTTCCTTTTTTTTTTTGCTCTTCAATATCGTTAATATTCTTTTTCGCTAATCCAACGATTGTCTCCTGATGAGATGTTGGCTGAAAGGGCCCTAGAGACTTTTTAAAATTAAAATCAATGGTTTTGTTTTTTTAAAACTATTTATAAATTTTGTACCTCCAAACATTTGTTTATACATATATATATATATATATATATATATATATATATATATATAAATTTTTATAAACTCCTTATACATTGGTTTTTACATTAAATTTGTATTTATAAAAACTAAGAATACGGAAGAAACAGAAATGTAGCCCAGTATTTATTTAAGGTAACTAGATAATCATGAAAGATTAATTAAAGAATGAAATGCGATATCATTGATTGTGGGAAACTTGTGGTACTCTACATTTGTTAAAATGCATTGTTTTAGATCTACCCAACTGGCGAAAAAAAAAAAAACAAAAACAATCTAATTTGGTAAATCGAGATTATCTTTATCTGATATGCGAGACAAACTTAAAAGACATATTGTTGAAAGTAATTGTTCATGAAGGTTTATTTCAGCGCCAATAATGTTATTCATTAAAACCCAGACTGAAAAAGCTCAAAGACATTCTGTAAATTTCTTGGCGATTTATGTTCTTTTTATGTCTATAGAAAATACAAATGACTCGCATATATCCATTGAAATATATATGGTAATGGTAATATTAGCCGTTTCTTTATAAGGAAATATATATATATATATATATACGTATATAAATTCATATAAAACGGCGGGAAAATTTTGGGACAACAACATAAAATGATTAAAAACTTTTATTTTACTTAGTAAAGACTGTTTAACGGTATTCTTTTATCTGTAGTGTATGTGGTCCTTGAGGATTGGAAAATAACTTGTTGCGTTTTCATAACTGCCGTGTAACAGAAGATACACATCTTGAAGCTGAAAAAAGGCCATGTAAAACCATTGGATCAATAAAAGATCTGAGCTGATAAAGTCTCGCTAATATGCAAATTTCTAAGTAGGAATTGTTCCATCTTATTAACATGAGCTTTAAATTACACTACCCATCAATTTCTAAATGTTGGAAGTGTTACCTGATGATCCGAAATCCTTTAAAAAGGATTTTGGTGAAATGAATTATTGTAATGGTACCTTAAAGTGGTCTGTTTTTCATTAAATATTAGCTCTGTTCTTCACATTCAGCTCTCAGGATTTCATCCTCTTTGGATTTACCAATTTGTTTACCAAGTTCTTCATAACTTAAATATATATATATATATATATATATATAAGTGAAGAAATATATTTATATATATATATATATATATATATATATATATATATATATATATATATATCGTCTTGATCTCAATAAAATTGAACTATTATGGTGGAAACTAACGAAAGCCATTTACAAGAGATTTTTTTCCAATGGGAAAATCTGACCTTGTTCCATTCAATGCCCCTTTGAAGTGAGGCAATTATTTGAGCCAAAAGCAGAAACACTAATAACTAACTCCCTACTTTGATGTTTTGTACTTTTGGTAATAATAATAATAATAATAATAATAATAATAATAAAGATCACTGTTTGTAAAAAAAATTCCTTTTAACTTAAGAAAAGAACAGAAAGATAATTTTTCACTGGTGGCCCGATATTTTTGCATGAACCTTTATTCAGCATCATTATACTTAAGATGCACTATCATCCACGATTTTAGCATTAACAAAAATGCAATAACTTGTTTTCTGGTCCTCAAAGTTGATTAAAAAAATACCGAGAAAAGAAAACTGCTAATAACTCTTTATTGGGGGTCAAAATGAAGCAAAATTAACAAAAGTAATTAATTCATTGATGCGAACCAAAAGTTCTGCATGCCAGTGTTCGCCGATTGAGCACTATAGAAAAAAGGGAATTTTTAACGGATGCTACTGTAAGACATCGCTCTAACAAAAACGGCACAATCTCCAAGAGCTTTGGGATTACTGTGAAGAAGAATTGATAAAAAAAATTCCCAATGAGAATATCTAGTTCTTGTTCCATCCAATACCTCATCAAATTGAGGCAATTATTCAAGGCAAAGGAAGCTGCACTAATTACTAACTCCATACTTTGATGTTTTGTACTTTCTGTAAAAATAAAAATCACTTTCTGCAAAAATAAATAAATAAATAAATATAAAAATAAAATAACTTAAGAAAAGAGGTGAAAGGTGAAGTTTTCTTTGGTGGTACAGTATTTTTTGCATGATTAAGATACTTTATCACTCACCACAGAGCATTAACGAAAATGCAGTAACGTGTAAAATGTACTGAGAAACGCACACTGCTAATCACTCTCGATTTAGTAGTAAAATTAACAAAAGTAATTAATTTACGAATGTATGTCAAAAACTTTTCATGCCAGTGTACACTCAAGTACACAGAACTGCAACATGAAAAATAAATTTATAAAAAAAGATATTGTATAATAAACCTTTGATTTTTTCTTTCTCTTTCGCAATATATAGATAGATAGATAGATAGATAGATAGATAATATTGGTACATATACACATACATATGCAATCATATATCTAAAATATATAAATATATATACATACATACAAACACATACATATATATTTGTATAAAAAATAATTCCAAGAGGATAGAATCCAGGTAGAACTCAATGTCCAGGACAGAGTAAGGATATAATAAAGGGTTAAACTAATACCATGGTCATATTTATCTATTGAATCATGATCCAATTCATCAGACCTACAAATTAAAAAAAATGATTTTCTTTTTTTAGGTCTGATGAATTGATCGTATTTACGATTCCAATGGAATTATGACCATGGAATTTTTTAGTGTTTAAGCCTTTTTATTATATATATATATATATATATATATATATATATATATATATATATATATATATATATATATGTATATATGTGTGTGTGTGTATGTATATATATATATATATATATATATATATATATATATATATATATATTATTGTAGTCATTTCAGTATTCTTTGTTCCTTATATTATATATATAAAATTCTGTGACTTCCATTGACCAATCGAAACTAAATTTGGGGGAGAAGTTGGAACAGGTAAAGGGATACAAAATACAGCTGGTTTTACCAGAGTGCGTAGCTTAGTACAATAAATTTTCATTGATTTTTTTCAAAAAATTTAATGAAAATTTTTAAAAAACGATTGGTTTGTGAAATTGAACGAAACGTCGAGTTTGTAAATCTCTGCCAAAAATGTTAGCGATAACTTCAACAATACTAAATACTGTGAGGATTTCAGCACGCCTCAGTGTGTTGTAAAAAAATTCTACTTAGAAAAAATCCGAACTGATCAATTATTTAATTTCATCCATTTTTTAAACTTTGTCAAATTTCGTTTACTAATTTTGAAAAACTATTTCTTTTACAAATGTTCACGCAACACATAGCTCAAGAGCCACTCAATATACTCAATATAAGAGGAGGAAGTAGTGAGTGGGGATTATGAAGCTATAGAGGATAGATAAAAATTGATCCTTGACTTGAAGAGGTTAGGGTTGTAGTTTCCAAGGTCTGTTCCACAAAGTAGTGGTTATTGGGGAAAAAGATGTCTGAATGGAACTTCTTCCTTCCAATTGGAATACGGAAGGAATAAAGGTGAGTGTAGCATGGCGAGTCTTACCTATAAATGTTTGAACTGGTGAAGTTAAAGAATAGAGTTTGTCTGAATATTTGCCATAGAAATAGCGTATTTATTTCTAGTAATAATAATTTTTCTTCAGAATTCTTCAAATGCTTTAATTTTCGACGTTTAAACAAGAAATGAAAACTCAAGAAATGCGATTTCCGTCCGCAAATAGGCACATTAGCTCACATGATGGATTTCTTTCTTTTTACAAGTAAGTTACAATTTGTAATAGTCTAAGATCCGTTTTATATATTTTAGGCTTAAAGGAAGTAAGCAGCTGCCATTCTCCAAGAAGGCAAATATTCTCTCATTTTACAAGATAGAACACAGCTTCGGAAAAAGGAGGCTGAAAGAAATTTAGATATTCCATTGAAGCAGATAATTACTTCTTTGTCGAAGAATCTTACTTCAAGTAAATACAAAAAGTGTCTCCACACATACTATAAGAATTTAGATTTGTTAGGGGGTTTGTTTCAACAAAGAACTGATAGGCTGTTTCTTGTCGTCAGATGATATTAGTACCGTTCAGTTTTACCTACATTCAAAAAGATCGCTTTTGATTCTATTGTGAAAACTCTCATCTCAGTGTGAATTTTTTTTAATGAATTTTGTTTAATAATTTTGATTATTAGTTCAGATATTGAAAATGCAAAAAATATACAAAATTTATGGCATTTGCCTTATTGTAAGAAAGTTAAAAATGAAATTTAGACACACAGAAATATTTCTGTATTTATGGAGAAGATAATATAAATATTCTGGCTGACTAGTTGAATTTGATTGCGAATAAATCAAAACATTACCTGAGAATAATCAACATTATGTTAAACTGTTGTAGAGTCTCGCCTCTATTATTGACTCTTCCATTTACAATAAAGTAGTAGGAAAAGTAAGCCTCGAGGGAACGGTGCCAAACCGTTCATGAGTGTCAAACTCTCCGTCTCGGTGGAGAGGAACTCGGACAAAGCTTTGCCGAAGGGCAAAGTTTCGTCCGGGGAGGTAGATAGGCCCCGAACCCGTTTATACTGGTTCAAAGGGAATACTTTTGGCCGAGCCCACGATAAACTCGGCTTTGTGTCACATATGACCCACGTGGGAGAGCCGTTAAATATAACGGTGCCGAACCGTTCATGACTGTTAAACTATCCGCCTCCTCGGAGAGGAACTCGGACAAAGCTTTGCCGAAGGGTAAAGTTTCGTCCACGGAGGTAGACAGGCCCTGAACCCGTTATTACAGGTTCAAAGGGAATATTTTTGGCTTAGCCTACGGGCTCGGAGAGCCTACGCTAAAACGGCCTTGTACCACATATGACCCTCGTTCGTTAAATATAACGGTGCTCCAACGCGTTCATGACTGTCAAACTCTCCGCCTCGGCAGAGAGGAACCCGGAGGAGGTTTTGCCGAAAGCCAATGTTTCGTCAGGGGAGGTAGACAGTCCCTGAACCCGTTTATACGGGCTCGAAGGGAATATTTTTAGCCGAGCCTACGGGCTCGGAGAACCTACGCTAATCCGGCCTTGTGCCACATACGACTCACGTGGGTGGCCGTTAAATATAACTGTGATCTCAACTGAACGCTGGTCAACCGACACACACTCCGAAGTCGTGTAACACACTTCTGTTGTATGTTCTGTTCAATACACGACCTTTTGTTTTGCTATTTCTTAATCAATTACTTGGTCACAACATTAGATGTCTTGTAAACTAGATGTCTTTTTGTTTCACATCAAAAACTGTCGACCGGAACGCTACGAAACAAGGAAAAGGTCGCTCCGAACATCACATCCGACTCACAAATCAATTCCTATAAAAAATACAATGTAAAAGGAGCCAATCATGAACGTTGCCGCTAAAGCCCCAAAGCACGGAAAAAAAAAACGCTGAGTCATGATCCACACCGTCTGCTTTTAAGAACACCTTTCACGATACTGTCGGGCAGTAGCAGGTAAGCTGTCAACGTCACCACAAGTGACCTCGGTCAACCAACCAGACACATGCATCAACTCTAGGCCCTACCGACTCTCCCCTTCCTTCAGGTCACTTCCCTTGTCCACAAAGATACATTCTTGATCCTCTATATCGAAAATGCAAAGAATTTGCACCAGTTTGATTATATTAGTTGATTTGATGAGTTAAGCGAAAGAAACCGAATAAAAGGTATTTTTGTTTGCGATCTTTTGAAACAAATTAGGAGACGCGATAAAAAGTGGACACTCTACAACAACGTGAAACTAATGAAGTGTAATGAGAAAAATATTGTTCTATTATTGAAGAAACTGATGACATCAATGGAATATGTATCCCCTCTTCTAAGCGCGAAAGATTATCATATTTGCTTTAGTATCTCTATCGAAAGCATTTAATTCTTGTCAAAGTATAATTGCATGTAGTTATCCATCTGTTTACAACTAATCATTTAACGTCGCTTAATTTCTAAGGTGTGAGATTGGATGAAATATGCAAATATTAACAATTGGTAGCTAATCAAATGTTCTACTCAAAGATTATAAATTTACTAATACCACTACTATGAATAATGGCTTCAGCTTTGAAGTCCAATGGTTTATTTTCAGTTGCATATTCATCTTGTGGACTACACATAATATCTTCCCACACAAGAAATAACATGATTGTAAATTCCAAAATCTGTTTCATTGAATCATTTTTGCACGTGCACGGACGTAGTACAAAATCATGTCACATGACAAAGAGGAAGTATAATAGATCAATCGAATGGCTCTATTTTGGGGTTGAAAAATCTAAAGCTCGAAGCTTCTTAAAAGAAATATAAATAGTTTCGGCGACAAAACATTCTGTGGATGTACTCATTTTCAACAGGATTCCTTTTCGGCTACCGACGACTTCAAAATGCACTTAGAGATTCTTTATAGAATATTTAAAAAAATCTGCAATGTTATTGGTCCTGACTTGGCATCTCGGCTTCAGTCACTTTCCCACTGCCGTAACTTAGCTTCCCTGTGCCTTTTTCATGGTATTTGTCTTGATGAGTTTGGCATCTCGATCTTAAGCGCAGTACTAGATTGGAAGTTAGGTCACATCATTTTGCAGTTGAAATGGCTAGATGCAACAGTAAATTCTATGCTAACAGTTTCTTCGCTTGCACTTCTCGCTTGTAGAACTCTCTTCTGGCTTCTTGCTTTCCAGTTAACTTTGATCTTCAAAGATTTACATGTAATGTCAATTGTTATCTTCTTTCTTCTTAATTCCTCTTCTTGTTCTCTCTCCTTAATGTTTTCTTCATATCCTTTCACACTCAGTAAGTCCCTTGCGTCTTAATGGTTTCATCACCTTATTTAGATTGAAATGATTAAATAACAATTCAGTGGCTCTGTTTGAACCGTAAACATAAAGTTAACCTTATTCTGTTTATCCATGTATGGTGATTTTCTAAGCGTAGATGTGGCACAAGGTCAAAAATTATGAAGCACTCAGGATCGAACTCACTACCCAGTCTTAATTGTTGTAGTGAGACAAGCTTGTAAACTATTGCACCACGTTAAGATGCTTCTGTTTGTCCCTGTATGTGTTGTATTGATTTATTTTTAAATAACGAATTTCTACTGAATTTTGTTAGAGAAATGACGGTTAGTTTAAACAGGTTTCCAAATAAATGTTAATTTTTGATACTTTACAACCTCATCACTTTCCTATCCGAAAAGTAATATTATAGCTTCTCATCAATCAATCCTCTTCTCATTCTTTTCTTACCCTTCTAAGTTCATTTAATCCAGTCCAGGAGAGGCCATGTTGATACTGTGCAAATGTTTCCAAATCGATGACCCAATGATGGCGGTACAGTCTTAAAATTACTAAATCCGCGACATCTAAGAATCAT